TTATGCAAAGGTACAATTCCCAATGAGAAATGTAATTGTGTTGTATACCTACAATGTACCAATAAAAGAATTTAATACAAAAAACCCCACAAAAACTATTTTCTGAATCTCTGCCTTTTAATTCATTTATTTAGACCATTTAACCTGAACATAATTATCAGTACTTTATGGCTTAACTCTAACATTTAATATGTGTTTCTCATTCCTTTGTTGTCCTTCTCTTGCCTTACTGTGGGTTATTTGAACTGTATTTAAAATTCCATTTTGACTTATTTAGTGTTTTTGAGTTTATAACTTTGCAAAAACTATAATTTTCCAAAAACTATAACTTTGCATAGTTAATATTTGTTTAGGTATTAAGATATATGTGTGTAACTTATAACAGCCTACTCTTATCAACATTTTACCACATCTAAGTGTAGAAACCTTATTTTCATCTAGGTTCCTTTAGTCCCTGACTTTTGAAATATACTTTCCTTACCTATTTTTTCTACATACATTGAATCTATCATCAGATAGTATTATGTTTGCTTTGACAATCCAACATGATTGAAAAAAATGCACTAGAAAAAAAGCCTATAATACTTATGCTGATTTTTACATATGTCATTGTTTTCCTTCTTTTCTAAAGTTCTAAGGCTCCTTCTGGTACTATTTCCTTTTTGTTTGGAGACCTTCCTTTAGCCATTCATTAATGGTAGATCTTTTAGTGAAACTTTTATAAATTTTCTTGTCATCTGAGAATGTCTTTATTTTCCCTTCACTCCTGAAGGATTTTGCAATGAACATGGAATTCAGAGTTGACTGTTCTTTTCCTTTATCATTTGAAAAATGGACCACTTCGTTCCGGCCCTAAAGGTTTTAGATGAGAAATCTGCTATCATTTAAATCATTGTTCCTCTATAGGTAATGCATGTTTTTCTCTCTAGCTGCTTTCAAGATTTTTTCTTTATCTTTAGTTTTCAAAAGTTGGTTATGATGTGTCTTGGTGCGGATATTTTTGGTTATTTCTGACCTACTTTTGTGAGCTGAGATTCCAAAGACAGTTTAGTTTTTAGGACCTGGGCCATGCTATTACGATCTGCTTTGTTTGTGTGTTCCTCAGAGACCACCTTGAAAACCTGAGTGGGATTCCACACTGCAGTTCAGTTCTTAGACCTGCAGGCGTGGTGATCTAATACCACTTTTGGATCAGACAGTTGTCTTTCCAGGACTTCCCGTGCAGATTTGAAAAATCTCTTTCTCCAGTTCCCAGCTCTCTGAGATGAGAGCACCCTCTAATTGAGAGGGTGAGGGGCACCAGCTGCTGCCAGTCATCTGGGCTCCTCACTTGGTCTTCGCTGGCATAGCAACAGCGGGGAGGAGTGGAAGCACCTGTCTGCATCCTCTGCTGATAACCAGTGGTGGCCTGTGGCAGATGCTGACACCACTAGCCTGAGAGGAAAGTGCCTCCCTTACCACCTGCCTTGTGGTGGGAGGTCAAGAAATCTGAGGCAGGTCCGGGGATTTAGCTCAGTGATTCCACTGCCTGCCTCGAAAGCGCAAGGTCCAGAGTTCGATTTCCGGTCCCCCCCCCCCCAAAAAAAGAAATCTGAAGCTCACTTGGTCCAGTGCGTGCTAGTGGGGGATGGAAAGTGTTTCCAAGCAGGCTAAAGTCTTAACGGGCTACCTCCTGCTGCTGCACGGGAGACAGCAGTCCAAGGCCACCCACTGGTGGAGCAGCCTTTCTCCAGCTGCATGGTGTGATCCATCCTACTCCTCTGGCTCTAGGCTGACGCTGCCCGCAGGGAAGGAAAGTGCTTCCCCAGGCCTCCCTGGGTAGCTGGGACTCTAAGTCAATCTCAGCTGGTGCTCCCAGAGGAACGGGTTTCCCCAGCTGCCAAGGCCACAGAGTAGGGGTTGGAAGTCTCTAATCCCTGTTCAGTCGCTGCTAACACCATGGTGTACAACTTGGGTAAGGCCGGTGTTGTCTAAAAGGGTTTTTTGCTGGGCTGGGTGTCTCTCCTTTCCCAGTCCTTTGAGTGCAAAGAACAGGTTTTCTTTGATTTTCTTTTGTTGTCTGCTTTGGCAGAAGATTCTATGGTAGGTTGCAGGTCTCTCCAGAACCCAGTTTAGGGGCTGGGGATTTAGCTCAGTGACACCAAGCCTTCCTCACAAGTACAAGGTCCTGAGTTCGAGCCCTGGTACAAAAAAAAAAAAAGAACCCAGTTTAGAACTTGTGGAAGATAAAAAGAAAAGCCAGGGAGTTTGCTCTAGTGTCATTCTTCAAGTGCTGAGGTCTCTGTCCAGTCCACTTACCTCTTTCCACCTTCCAGAGTCTTCTTATGATGACTTTTGTAATTATTTTTAGGAATTTTATTTGTGTTTAGCAGGAAAGAGTGAGGAAAATATGCTATCTTGTCTGAAACTTGAATTTACCTCATGTGTTAAAATAATGAAGTGACTAAGGAAAAGATTTTTCTGTTTTAATTGGGAGACATTAGTTGACTGGGCGTCATGATTTCAATTTACACTTTAAAGACAAAACAATTTTTCCTTTTCATTTATAAAATGGGACTGGTAATGCTTGGACTTTAGTGGAGACTTTGAGAATGTATAAGGGATTGTTAATCTGTCTTTGTTGAGGCACTGGTTGGTGAATCTAGAGTTAAGATCTTTAAACCAAGTATGTTATTGTACACACACTATGGTGGTGTAACTTGCCAAAAATGGGCTCAGGAGACCAAAAATAAAAGACAAAAGAAATATAGAGATATTTAAATGATCACTCTTGGCAACACTTCCTTTCTTTTTCTCCTTTTTCTTCTTTCTATTCCAGCACTTGGGAGGCTGAGGCAGGAGGAGTGCTTCAAGTTCAAGGCCACCCTGGGCTACATGGTTAGTTCAAGGCCAGACGGAACTACATAGCGAGACCCTGTCTCAAAAAACAAAACAAAACAAAAAATCGGTAAGTGGTCCCATTTTCCTTAGGCAAGTAAAATGCCTACTTTCCACATGAGTTCATCTTATGTGTGCTTTGTAATATGTATGTAAATTCATAGACAAATGATCTGAGAGGATACAGACCAAAGTTATAATGGTAGTTACCAGTGGGGAGTAGGGATTGAAGAGGATTTTAGATTTATCTCCAATTTTTTCCCAGGGAAAAATAAACTATATTATTTATGTAGTTAATAATAAAACAAAAACAACCTGTGCATGTGCTAAGCCACAAGACTCTGATACTGAAAAAATTTAAGATATGCTGTCTTTTCCTCAGTCAAAAATTATTTTACACTCACAAGAACATTTTCAGATAAAATTAGGGAAATTGTTGATTCTTAAAATAAAAAAGCAATTGTAAACACACAGCAGTTGTATTTACACTCCTGGTTGAAATGATAACATGTAAAAATGGTTTTATGCCAGGTGTGGTAGTTCATGTCTTTAATCTCAGCATTCTGGGAGGATGAAGCCAGAGGGTCATAAATTCAAGCCCAGCCTGGGCAATTTAAGGAGACTCTCGAAATAAAAAGTAAAAAGAGGGCCAGAGATTTAGTTCTGTGGCACCACGCCTGCCTAGCAAGCACAGGGTCCTGAGTTCGATCTCTGGTGGTGGTAGGGTGGCTGGGGATGTAGCTCAGTGGCACAGCGCCTCCCTGGCAAGCTTAAGGTCCTGAGTTCAATCTTCAGTACCAAAAAAAAAAGGTAAAGAAGACTACCAATGTAGCTCAGTGTAAAGCCCTGGTTTCAATCCCTAGAACTGCAAAAATAAAAAAAAAAGTTTTATATGCACTTAAGTATATACAAAGGGACTTGCAAGGAGAGAGTATAGTCAATGTGAGAACTTGATCACTGGGACCCTCACTTGATTCTTTACTTCCTATTAATATCCAAAATAATGCTTACAAATAGAGATGGTCTACAAAAAAAATTGGAGAGAACTTTTAACTCATATGATTTCACCTGTGAACGCAAAAAATAAAGTATTTATGGAGTATCTACTCTATTCCAAGTGTTTAACTTATATTTCCTCATCTGATCTTTCCCAAGCTCTCAAGATAGTAATCATTGTTCACATTTTGCAGGTAAGCAAATGAGCTCAGAAACAAAATAAATTGCCCAACATCATTAGTGAATAGTGGGTACACTTCAAAATGAAAATGCTTTCTATTCTTTTGTAGATTTGAGTATTTTGAAAGCATCTACCATTTGTATCCCAAGGGAGAGTGGGAAGAGCCAAGTAATGTAGCCAGGTACTCTTTATACATTTGTGGCATGAGAAAAATAATTTACAAATGAAACATACACCTATCCTTGAAATCCTTCCTTTTTAGGTGTTAACTTCAGTAGAATAATTAATTTTCTTAACAATTAACTGAAAACAGTTTAATGGAATCAAACAATAGCATACACCCAATGAATGCCAGGTAGTTAGTGACCTTCCTAAAAAAGTACATTAAAACTGATGCCATAGATCAGTAATATTGACTTTCTTCTTGGAAGCCTGTCTCAAGCCAGCTCATAATTTATTTTTGTGGAGAACAAAATATTCACTAATGGAAATTAAAAACAAAATTAAACACCAAACATCACTTTAATGGCCAGTTTTATGTGTCAACACATAAATTACACACTAATCTGGGTGGTATTGTGAAGGTGTTTTGTAGATATGAGTCAAGTCTATAATCAGTAAGGATTTTAATTAAGAAAAATTATCCTTGATAATCTGGTGGGTCTGATTGATTCAGTTGAAGGCTTCCCCAAAGAAGAAATGCTGTCTGTGGACAGCAACATCAGCTTGTGCCCAAAAGCCCCCTCCTACCCTTTCTGACTGTCTACTCGAAGGATTTCATATTTCAGACTTGCTTAGCTGGCCTCCACAATCATGTAAGTGTGTATGTGTATGTATGTGTAAAAATGATTCCATTTATCTGCTGGAATCCCGATCGATAAAGTCATTGTCTTCGCTTTTATATATAAATTTATATGCACCAAGAAAACAATTTAATTTTCCTTGAACTTTGTATTCTTTCCTTACATTGGATTTTTCTAAGTCATAAGTCTCAAAAGGGAAAGTGATTACAGAGAATGCTCAGCTTCAGAGACAAACCACCCTTGTCCATGTTAGAATTATACTGCATTGTCTGTGGTTTGGGGGGGGGGATAGTTGATCCTCTGGGGAATCATCATCTAAATGAGATCTCAGAAGTCTCTGGATTCAGCTTTCTGATGATAGAAGCACCAGAGCCTTGTGGGATAGAAGCACATGGAACTCGCTTCAGGCCTCCTTCTGTAATAGGCACTATCCAGGTTCATCCATAAATCTTGCATGCCTGATGTGATAAAAGAAGTCATTTAAAAAAAAAAATCAAAACAGCAATAATTTTATTCCTTAAATTATCTGGAAATTTCTTGGGAATTTTTTACTTTTCTTGGAGACATTATCCAAATGTTTCTATCTTACTCTTTATCTCTCTGAAGAAACTTCTGGGTTACTTTTGGAAATGTTCTTAAATCTTTTCCCTCCCATTCATTTTTATAAGTTTTTTTTCATATATTTATTTAGACTCGTTCTTTCAGAAATGATTTAATGTGGCTGACAAAGATGCATTAAAAACAGCACAGACATATAACTAAAATTGACAGGTAAAAATGTAAAGGGAAAGAAGAGAAAGTAAAGAAAAAATAAATAGTATAATTGTCTATAAAATTTATGTGGCTCACAGGTCAGGCTAGGGTAGTGGCAGTTAGAATGAAAAAGTAAGGTAAATGACACACTTCATAAGGCTCATGAGAGAAAATCAAACCAACTGTCTAAGAGAATCACAACTATTTTTGGCGTAAAGACAGGCATTTCCCTAGGGCAGTGGTGGTGAACCTATGGCACTTATGTGTGGCAGAAAGTTCTAAAAGGTTCACTGTCAGTGCCCTAGGGAATCCTATCCTATTGACAATAGACAAAGCAATGCCTCTAACCACAAGCATCAAGAGGAGGTTTAAAAAACATTTCCAAGTAGAACTGATTCCAATTATGTATTTTATCCTTTCCTCTAACTTGGAAAGAATTTATCTGCAATTACACAAAAATGAAGTCTTCATATTCCTTACTTTATGCTTGACTCAGGAACCTACTTTGGGGGCTGAGGGCATATCTCAGTGGAAAAGCACTTGCCTGGCATGCTTGAGGCCTAGAGGTCTGTCTCTAGCATGGCAACAAACAGACAACTTTATCTAGTGAAGGTAGCCAGCTGAGGGGTGACAGAGACCAAGGAACCTCTTGAAGTGTTGACCTGGTATGGGCATCAGAGGTCAAACAGTGTAAGGCACCTATAGGAACCTGAGGTGAGAATGGGGATACTCCCTACTCTGGGGCATTGGAATTTGATCCAAGTGAAAAGTCTGTCTTATCTGTCTATAGTATATTTTAATTTTTGCAATACAATACCGGAGACAGAACTCACAGCTTTTGTACTGAGCTGTATCTCCAGCCCTTCTGAAAATTTTTATTTTGAGATGGTCTTGCTTAGTCTCTAAATTGCCCAGGCTGTGCTCAAATTTGATCCTCCTGTCTCTGCTTTCCAGAGTACTAACAGGCACAATCTGTTTAATGTACAAACCACTATAGGAGCTGGATGTAATGGCACATGTCTATAATCCAGCATTCTGGGAGACAGAGGCAGGAAGAAGGCATGTTTGCCCAGCCTGGGCAACTTAGAAAGACCCTGTTCAAAATAAAAACTAAAAAGGGCTGGGATGTAGCTTAGTGTATAAGGCCCTGGATTCAATCCCTAGTACCACAAAAGAAAAAAAAAACCTAAAAAACTAAATTGTAAACTTCATGTGGCAAATAGTTATAACTGCTAACCCAGCATCTATTCTTTCCATCTTTTTTTGTAAGCAACTCAGTTTTTTTTTTAGAAATAATGTGCTTGGTAAAAATATTCACCTCCAAACTCCCTTGAAGTTAGAATGGCCATGTGACCCATCTCTGGCAAATGAGATATAAGTAGAAGTCTACTAATCAAGGCTTCTGGGAAAGTAATTGTTTCCTTGATGAAATGGGTCAGATTTAGCTAGCTTTTTGCCACTCACCTGCTTCATTTCATTCTGTCTAGAATGCAATCACAATACTAGAGGCATGAGAGCTATCTTACCAACTTAAAGAAAATATTGCATGTTTAGAATGGCAGAGCAGGAAGATAGAAAGACTCTAGGTCCTTAAAGACACAGCAGCTGCTGGGTTGTCTACCTCAAGACTTTGAATTACATAGCAACTAGAATGTCATTTTTTATTGTTGGTATCCTGAAAACAGTTCCCTGCACCCGCCTACCCCTCACACAGTGTTCAGTTCCTGTTGGGTACTGAATGAGGTACTGATTTAGTGGCATTAGTGTTGCTAGCATCTCCTCAAACAATTTCATATCTGCATTCATTCAAATAGTTTTTGCCTCAGAAATTGTTTGGCTGCTTGAGGCTAAGATGGGTCAGATGCAGAAGTTTTGGTATTTGTCCACAGAGTTTTGTGTCATTTTTGGAAAATAAGACACAAGAAATAATACTTAAAGGTTTATATGATCAGGGAGGAGAAGACTGGGGTTAGTATTTTTACTTTATTTCATTGAATGCTCAAAATAATGGCAAAATAGGCATAACTCACTTCACAGGTGAGAAAACTAAAGACACTACCTAGCTGGCAGAAATTTTCACAGATGGTATGTAGCAGAATGTAAGTCAAACTCAAGTCTGATGTTTCTCAAATCCATACTTGCTCTTTGCAACTCTAACATGATGCAACTCTAACATGGCCTTGCGCATAGACTGCCTGCACTCTGCCACTGAGCTACACCCCAGTTTGTTGTTCAATTTTTGATGTTTTTGTTCTTTAAGAAGGTGCTTCCTTTCCTCAAAATGAAGGTGATCATCATTTGGATTACTCAGAAAGCTGACAGTCTAGCTAGAGAAGT